GTATTGATGCTACCAAAAATCGTACCTGCCGATTTTTCGAGCTTGATGATTCGGGTTGATCACGATAGTGGTCTTCCGGTACCTGAAACAAAGGCAACGAGGTATGTTCTCGTCGTCCCCCCGATGCTTAAGTCGGAAAGGGAAATGTATGCGTGAGGCTATGTGTTGAAGAACAATGAAAAAACGTACCTGAATAATGGCCCAAGGTTCTGTATTTATAGAGGTAGGTAGTATACTCTTAGTAGGATTCCTTAGTGCACCTGTAGTAGGACAGCTTGATTTTGCAATCTAACACCAATGAGTCCTACGCGAGATAGGAGTTTGAATTGAGGAATAACTGTGATACCAATAGAGTTCTTCTGGGCATAGGAGACATGAATTGAGGATTTTTAGTCAGAATAGATCTCTCGTCGGATAAGGCGCTCTCGTAGGTCATAATCCCGAGGACATGTCGAATGATTGTTGAATAACTCTTCGGGCCAATAGTTCGGGCATATGGGGATACCCGAGCACATGTGTCCCGAGCATTTTGATACACATACCGACGAAATCGAGTCCTCGGGTCTATATACGTCGGGGACAAACTTGGTTATATCAGGTATGATACTGGTTTGTGCTCTTCCCTCTTCATTTGTACTATACCCAACCTTGCTGGTCAGCCCTTGTCATTGTTTCTTGTATTTGAGCAAAAATGCAGAGATCATTGTATCTGGCAGCATGACAATGCCTCAAAGGATTTCATCTGTTGAAAAAGTTTCTCGACGAGGTGAAAGAATTCTGCTCCACAGAATACCGTAGAAATGCTGAAGTTTGATGTCAAGTAACTGTCAAAGTAATGGTAAAATGGGGAAATTTGGTATTCAGTCTAATAGAAACGTCCATTTGGGACTAAGATTATATTTGGCTAAGCTTAAAAAAGTCTAATCTTAAGTAAAAATAAGTAATCTTTATAATCGATGAAAATCGTAAATAATGTCTTATTTGACAATAAAAAATAATTATTCTCAAAATAACTATATTTTCATGCTTAAAAGAATGAAAATAGTAACTTGTCCAAACATGTTTGGAAACAAAATGAAACTTAATTAAGCTTATTTTAACATGCTATGTAATGTCTAATCTCGACTGGTGTGTAATCACAGGATAGCAGCCTCTCTCTGGTTCAACCAGAATTGAGATTGTTAATTGCATTACTCAATAACATATGAAACCACCATCACTACTACAATTTTATTATTATTTTTTTCCTCCGTCATATGAAATGACGTCATTCGCTGCATGTCTTGGGAGACTTATGGGGTGAGATATCGTTCATTGGAGCATCATCATTTACGACGTCATTTAGCTTGCACCATAATCGTTTTTATTCTCTGCAATGAGATTGCAGCATTTTCTGTACGCTCATGGGAAGGGAGTTGTATCTCTTTTGAAGGCTTATAAAGGGAAAGCAATTGCTAATTGCAGCAGCACCGATGACACGGTGAATGTAACAACTTGATAATAAAAAATAAAAGGAACAAGGAAGAAAGGAAATCCAAGAAGAGTGGAAGAATTTAGGGCAAATAGGGAAAATCAATTTTATCAATATATTCAATGGCACTTATTACAATGGTTAAGATTCCTTTTAATCTCTATCTCTGTGTCTGTCTGTAATTTTCTATTTGTCCTTAATATTTTATTGTATAGTGATGAATAGTTAATTATTATGTCTAAATTTTAATTTTTGGGTTGAAAAATTACAAAGATAATATGGTTACACAATCAACTTCATAGAAAAAAAGAATAGTGCTAAAATGTGATAAGTCATTGTGCATAATATTTTGACAAATGTTTTTATATTTATTTAGGGTCAATAATATCGACATAGACATGAACACGCAAAAGGTGATTGTGAGAATTGATATAGTGGATTGTAAAGAAAAATGCAAAACTCTTGTTTTTATTTAAAGAGGTGGATTTATTTAATTTTTAAAGAGTGGTGGTATTTTCTAATTTTTTTTGGATTTATTGAATTTAATTTCACACAACAACAACAATAATAATAATAATAAGGAATTTGGAAAGTGTTAACATTTTTCATTAAAATTTATGATATTATTTGTGGATAGATTTTAAATTATATATGTTACTACTTGTTTAATCAATTGCTTTTTTCTTTTTTCTTTGGTGACTAGGGCGCCTAAGTTTCGCTGATTTGTCACTCTAGGAAAATAGATTCCTTATTCATAATTGGACTTCTATATGACCATTTCTTTTCTTACTTCTATATACATCATCTAGTATTAGAGCACAATTCCGTCATGACTACCCAACAAGGGCCTGACACGGGAATTAACCGAGGTAACCATACTACTGCAAGGGAAGGAGCACCAACCTTTTAAGGCAAGGCGCGCATAGTTAACGACTTAACGTTACTTGAGAAGAATCATGATAACATATTATTTTTGCTCGCTCTTGCCATTAGATATATACGAGTGTTAAGGGGGATTGATTTTATAATTAGGATTGATATCGCCTTATTTAATTCAACTGAGGGCATAATAGTCTCTTATCGATGTATATTTATATCTCAAAGCTTTGACTGCATAGTACATGAGAGAAATATTTCACTATTAACAAAATTTCAATATTTAGAATGAGCGATAGTTTCATTAATTTACACAACGAAGAAAAAATAATGGATCCCCTCTTCAATATAAGGGGAGATTTTATCTTTTAAAATTTTTATATAACGTTATTTGACTCAACTCGAGGACGTAAAGGTCTCTTACCGATATGTTTTTACACCTCAGAGTTTCAACTGCTTATTTGATGCAAATACTCCAAAATAAATAACAATTCAATATTTTGAAAATCATTCAACAAATAAAATAGAAAAATGCGCCTGAACAAAAAAATTCAAGTGCTAAAAGGAAATTTTCATCATTGGAAATTTGATCATATCACCTTATTTGACTCGATTCAAGAGAATAAATCATAAATCATAATGGTTTTTATTATAAATGCATTAATTTTCCCTCGCATAGCTTCGACCTCTTATTTGGTGAGAGTAATACTCCAAGATTAACATATAAATATTTAGAAGTAAGCAATAAATTCGTCAAATCACTCAATGGAAAGAAGGAAAAAGAGATTGAAGAAAAGAAAATTACAAGATAAATCAGCAAAGCAATAATGAACTTCCATTAATCTCGAGATGAGAAAATATAAATCACAGAGGCATAGATTAAAACTTAAAAAGTAGATTATAAGTAACTAAAGCCAGCATGCAGAATCATAAACAAAAGACAATAAGATTAATCTATCTGCATCAAGATTCACATTGAAGGCCCCCTACCCACACCCCTGCCCACCCCTACGAACCCATATTGTCCTTCTCGATAATCAAACTAGGGTTCCTTCAAAAATTTTAATTTCTTCTCTTGAATCTCATCTACAACATTTACTGGCTCTGTAATCATATACAGATTATTAATGCTCCGATACCTGCGTTTCTTCGACGGCTTGCAACTGATCTGAACACAATCTTGCACGCTTTTCTGTGATGATCTGATTTCATCCTTTATGTTCTTCTTCTTGTTCTTGGAGATCATGCGGTTTCTTACAGTATTTCTTTGTTCATGATCATGATCTTGATCATCTCCAAATAGCTGCATGATTTGGTGTGCTATGTCTGCTGATGTATCTGATTCTGTAAACCCCTCGATCCCTTGACAAGCCATGGAATTGCAAGAATTAATGATAGAGATATATATGTCTGTGTGTAACGTGTTATTGTGTTGTCTGAGAGAGACGGCGTGTCATCTTGGTTTTGGAAGAATTTGGATTTGATGAAATTTAAGGGTTTTTTTTTTTAAGGAGAGCGCGTTATGGGCAAGGTTACGTGTTGACTTGGTCCTTGCTTATTTGCCTTGTTCTTCGACTTTAGACGCCATGAACAGATTGTTGTTTTGTTATTTTATATACCATATTTTATAATATTGCTCAATTTGCAAAGACTGCACAAGTGTGATTATTCTACTTTGGAAACATGACTTCAAGCACAGATTTTTCGTTCTTGAAGTCACGATATCTATTGTTATTAGTCTTTACAAACTACTGAATACAGATTATATTTTAGTTAAAAATACTGAAGCATGCTCTTATACTCGATTAAAGAGTGATAGTTTTCAAAGATGAAGATGCGTTCACTACTCTCTTGACCCTGAGTTCATAGCATAGGTAATTTATCTAACTCATGTGAACATCAAAGATACTCGAACTTGTGTATAATGATCACTATCCCATTACGAGTTTATTTAACATATAAGAATGTCACAAGGACTTTAATTCTTTGCATCATCACACTACACAATTAAACTCTATACAGTAGTTATATCCAATACATTACCTAAAGTCACTACAATAGAAATTCACTCATTACATTTAAGACAGATCATATACTAACTAGCAACTAGTAGAGTGACCTTATCATAACAATTTGTGAATATGTGTTCAAGGGTCTAGACGAGACAATTCTCAATCAGAACACAAGTGTATCTCTTTATGCTTATTTAATCAAGTACCCATCTCGTATTATCACAAAAAGGATGACACAATCTCATACATAAATGAACAAAATAAATGCAATAAATATTTTAAACAAAATAAATAGCCAATATTTATTTAATGACAATTAAACGGTCTAACTATTACAATATAATCTTACATTTTTGGGTACAGATCCCTGAACTCTTGCATGTCTATAGATGTGTTAAATTGAACACCAGTCCTAACCCACTAGGCCCTTCAAGAAAAATTATGGGCCTGTAATTGGCCCATAACCACAACGGACCGGTCCACAGGCTGTCTTCTTGGCTGGTCCGGGTTGTGAGGTCAAGCCCACGGTGGACTTACGGGCTGTGCAAAATTTAGGAAAAACTACCCAAATAAATCTAAAAGTGGGCCCAAATAAATGTTACTCCGGATGGGTTCAGGTCCCCTTTTGTCCAACCGGTTTGAGCACCCAACCCCTAACCCAAGGTTGAAAGTCGATTGTGCTTCAATTCGTTGCTTGCTTAGCGACAGCGCTTTCACGAAAAGCTAGCCAAAATCGTCGGAGAACAACACAAATTGACGTATATAGGGACCCTTCAATCTATATACATATCGTCGTATACTTTTTTTCATTTTTTTTGGGTTAATTTTTCCCTATTCTATTACATATAATGCAAGTAATACCCAGATGGCGAAACATTTTGACATTGAAAAATCCAATTATTCAATCAACATGGATCGATACACCATCAACAGCCCATTTGGCTAATTTCCATTCTACTGATGTTCCCTTTGAGAAATGGAAGAATAAGTGGAACCCAGTAAGTTTTATTTTTTTTCTTTTTTTGCCGGATTCTGGAAATTGCTGTAATATGATTTTAAAGACATAAAATTTCCATTCTTGTTGAATTATTTCAATTAAGTATGTGTGCCTTTTCTGTTTTTTTATTTTCCTTATCATGTTAGGTAGGTATCGATTCATTCTTATTGAATTCCGGGAATTTTGTTGTTTTAAAAAATGGTTATTTTTGCTGGGTTATGTACATTTTTTTTGTTTACGCTTAGCTAGGTAGATTGAACACAATATGATAATATTCGTTTGTTGCGAAAAGACCAAATATTTTGAGAAATATGTGACAAAAGACTTGAAACATTTTGTTAAGTCTCTTTGGAAATTGTCTTGGCGCATTTTGATGGTGATCATGTTGGTCCAGACTGCAGATTGTGGTGGGACAGATATTTTCAGCCAGCATCATGGCACTATTACTCAGTTCAGCTAGGGCATGTGGGCTGGGTAAGGAATTGGTTACGTATTTATTTGGAGGAGTTTGTAACACTCTTCACGTTGGATATGTGATATTTTATGTAAAATGTATATAATAAAGTTGGTTCTTTCATATCAAATATTTTCGGGCGAAGTGGCCCATTGCCAGTGTATTTGATGGTCGATACCTCCCAACATTAATTTAAGTGTTTCAAAGCAACTGATTAGTGTCCAATTATGTCGCAAAGACTAGCAAATCTGACTTGGGATTTCAGAGGTGGTAATGAAGCTGGTGTTAGTCGGAGCCTCAAGAACTAAATGATATGGCACAAAGTGCTGTACCGAAGTACTGATAACATTTAGTTCTCACGTTCAGAACACAAACTGTTAAGTGCTAGCCGGCTGTGTGAGAACTTGAGAACAAAATACTACATTTAATATAGGAGAATTTTTTCAGAAGTGTGAGAGTGTTAATTTTTATGACCACGTAGATTTATGCTTCTGCTTTGTGAGATATGGCATTCACGAAGGTGCGAACTACGTTTAACTGTTATTTAATATTTGTCATAAGTTAATATTAGAAGAGGTAGAATGGGGTGTCATATGTGACAACATCATGAAGCAACATGCTCTTGATGTTGTTACACTTGATCCCTACGAAAGAGAGGTGAAATGGAAGTTGTTTTTCTACTTGCTCATCAGGAATACATGGTTCATGGAATTTTGTTGACAAAAAATTGGTTATTGAGTGGGAATTTTTGGGTAGTTTATGTTAGTCCATTCCATATTAAATGCATGCTCTAGACAGTTGTGCAGGATTGGGATTCTTAGGAAAGAAAGAGAGATAAAAATTGAGCATTTCAACTCATTTTGGTGCTCTGAAATTCCCTCGGCTATACTGTAGCTGCCTTTAGATTTGGCCAAGACCACTAATGGATCATCTAGCAGTATAAATATCTAAACTAGTTTCACTGCTGTACCATGTCTCGTTGCATAATGCCAGTTATTATAATCATTTGTTGCAAGATCGAGTTCTTGTGGGGAGAACATAACTTTTTTGCTATCCTTAGAATTTGAGAGAGAGGGAGAGGGAGATGGGGGAGGATCTAAACGTTTTCATGTGATGTTTTGTTGGAACTATTGCATTTTATGGATTTCTTTTGACTGACTACCGTCATCATAATTGTTACTTAATTTAATTGCGTCTGCATTGCTGCTGCTTTTGAAGTGCTTCGGATGGAATCAGTTGGAATCCAACATCTCTTCTCTATTTTGTCTGTTTGGTGCGATTAGCTAACTTTCATTCATGAGAAAGTAAATTAGGAAGAGGGCAATTTTTGCTGATGATATTTTCCATTGTTATATGTCCAATTGGCCAATTGATGGCCATTTTCTGTTTGTATGTGAGAGCTATTTTTTATTCATTCCTTTCGGTATGTTTGAAATAGGTATTATTTTTTCTCTCTAGATGTGAAGTTTGACAAATACAGTATCTATGCAGGATGTAAGCAGTCAACAACCATCAAAGGCAAACAATCCATCACAGGTTTTCTTAGTTATTTTTTGTACCTAGAGATATTGATGATTTGATAATTGAGTTTATGGTTATAAAAAAAGAAAAGGATAGATATTGTGTAAAGGAGGCTATCTATCCTTCCGACTTCATCCTACCCCGTGCTTTACATGCTTCTGTACATGTCTTCACTTGATAGGATTAGCACTTGAAGCATGTTAACATAATCAGAAATTTTCAGTTGCTTACATAATAAAATATATAATCTGATTTTACATCATATCTTGTGACGATCAGCCTTTTCTGGGTCTATCTTGATGTGTAAATTTGGAGTTCTAATTTATCAAATGTTCCTTGCCTTAAGAATCAATGATATTTGAATAAGTTAGTCATTTTTTTATTTTTATATTTTTTTTCCTGTGTTACATTTATTACTTAAACTTTTCTGATATTGAAAGATTTTGATTCAGAATTATATAAGATATGCAGTACGACAAAAGCGTGCTGATGCGAAGAAAGCTCTTAAAAATCTTATCTTCAACGGGGGTTGTTCCAAATCAACAGCAGAGGTATACAACCGGTCAATCATGTACATTTAAATACATGATTGACATGCTTTTGTATCACATATTTTCTTATATGTAATATGTTTATTGTAATTTGACACTTTGTTTTCTAATTTCTGATACCTTTAATGTATATCTGTTTCTATGTATTCATATGCACGTGTATGTACTGTTATTCATGCTTGTGTGTGGACAGATACATTTATTACCCATAGGAGCTGGGAGGGTGAGATGAGAGTTTGTTCACAATCAGGGTTCTCTCGTTTGACATGTAATACGGGTTGTGTTCTTGTACGGCTTTCCCCGCGAAAACAAATCTCTCTCCGCCTTTGGTTTAATTGAAAGTTAACTCCATCTTCAAAAAACTTCTTCTTTATGCCAAATTTCATTTGACGAAAAAGTACTTACATAAAAACATTTAGTTCCCCACTTAGACTACGGTCAGTTGAGTTAATTGGAAAGAGGTCCAATGGTCCATGATGTAATAATCATCATTTGCAGTTTCATTGAAATTCATGATGAGTGTCTAATCGATGAACATGTATTGTTTCTCACTAAGAAAGAATCCAAAACCGCACAGTATTCTGGTATACGTATAGTTTATCTTTTGTATGGTTGATGTAATATATATCTAGGATTACAGTAAATGGATTTTCATCTATGTTGAAGAATGGTGAAGAGCTGTTGAAATTTCACATAAGGACTTATGCAGATTCTGGTCTAGATATTTAGTGTCAGCTGCTTCTGTATTTTTCCTGTTTTATTCTTTGAAAAGTCAAATGGATACAATAGCTATGCACATTCCAATTCACTATTTATCTTCAATATCCTTTTTCCTAATCAGTTATAGATTTCTTTTATCCATATGGATTTTCTGACTTGTGTTGTTTTGTGTAAATAAGGAGACATTTCATCATATAGAAGCAGAATGTGAAGATCAATATAACAAGAAATCACGAATAAAGCCTGCTCGTCAAGCAAGGAGAGCTTACCACAAGAAAATAAAGCGTTAGTTCATCTTTTCTCCAACAACCTTGTTGACCCATTAAAATTAGCATTATTGTCTTTCACTATTCTAGTTATTCATGTTAAAATTAAACTGTTTTTCTGGAGGACTTGCAAGAAAAATCTCTGTTTGGATCATTCGTATTACACATTCATTCTTTACAAATGTCTATGTCAGGCTCACTGCTGGAGGAACCTAATTTTATCATTCTAGAAGGCTGAGCTTTGTTTTATCCTTAAAAAATCATGTAGAAGAATCTTACTCTTTAAGTTCTCTTGCTAACTTGGAAAACCAAATAAGATGATAAAGCATGCTCTTTTACGGAAAACAGCATTACTTGGACCCTTTGAATTGTCATAAGACAGTTTTTTCTTGAAACCATCAACCTCAAGACCACCATCAAACTAATCATTTCAAGATCTCGAAGCTAGCACAGTATGTAAAACCTGAGTAAGAATCGTGTAACTTAAGAATTGTGTAACTAGTTCAAATACGTGGACTATGTTAATATTGGTACAAGTCCAAACTGCAGTGATGTGTTTTAGTATATGAATTGCGAGAGATTAAAGGAGCAATTTTAAGCCTGGTCGCCTATATAGCCTGTGTATATGCATAGTTCACCGACGCATCACAGATTTCTAAATGACATTAATGTAGACAGATGTTTGACGAAAATAATGCAAAAGTAAAAATGAATTCAAATTAAGAAATATATGTCTGTATAAATCAGGATGCTAATATGGACTACTATTAGGGGCCAAAAGACAAGACAGTAAACCTAAGGCAAACAACCGTTAGTAAGTGATACCTGGTGAGACAAAAAGCAGCTTGAAATATTTAGTGTGAGCAGCTTTATAAGCGGGGTGAACTATGTCAAGTCGAATCATTGGATGGATTTTCTGGAGATGGGAGGTGAACATGGAAAGATCCAGGGAGAATGAAGAAGTCATGCACCATCTTCCTATCTCTGCAAGTTATTCTTCATCTGTTGTAGAATGTTGTGATTTGAAATGGTGCACACATTTTTAGGTGTGAGTTGAAAAGGTGAATATCTGATTTAATTTTTCAGTTTTACCCTTGAACTAAGGAAAAAGAATCCTTGTCCATCTCATTCTATGCAAGGGCGTTTATGGAAAGAAAATGATTTCTGGGAACAGGACATATTTATGGCATACAAATAAGGAAATGAAGTAATTCAATTGTAGACAGAGAGAATAATTTCTAATTGCTTTGAAGCCCCTGATTTCATTATTTTGTAGAATTTAGACGCTGAATGAAGTTCTTCAAATCACAATTTAGTTATTTAATTGTTATTCCATAGCTTTTATCTTATCAAGTTTAAATAGCTCCTGTGGAGAATTGGTCGAGTGAATATTTATAATAGATGATATGCATATCTATCTCTAATGACTTCCAGTTAGTTTATTCTATTTATGGACGAAAACTTGTGCATTTTATTCTTGCTTTTTGTTCTTTTGAGGGAACTCATTTGTGCATAATACGATTGTGGTAATTCAAGGGGTCAGAAAGATGGTTAATAATTTGCAGGATTGTACTTTTATAATAAGTTGGAACACTTTGAATTAATTCTTAATAAGATATTGAGGGTAGTTGAATCTGAGATAGTAAATTGGTTCCTTTTCGCGCAAATTTCAGGTAAGCTTCGTAGGGATAATATGTTCGAAGATTTTGATGCGCACCCTGAGAGAATATTTCAGGCAACTTTCGGGAAAAGATGCTTCACTTGGACCTTTAAACCTTGGGAAATGGGATTTGACTGGAGGGAAAATTTTAGCTGGAATAACAGAAGATACGAAGAACACGATACTAAAGGTGGGACGGAATTCACTTCCGGTTCTACCATTGTAGGAACATATTCAGATAGGATAACTCTTGGTTTACCCCCAGCTGGACCTTTGAAGATCGAGGACGTCAAGACTGCGTGAGTGTTCTCATTGCTGTGTTCTGTGTATTAATCTTGAAAAAAATAATAATAATAAATAAATTTACTTTTGAGTAACTTTTTTGTTTCCAAAGGCATGTTTGGCATATCTAAATATGTGAAAGTTACTTAAACGTAACTATTTATTCCCAAACATTTTGGATAAGTAAATATTTTCCTGATTTTATGTTTTAAAAGTGTAAATATTACTAATTTGAACGTAAAATGTATCTTACTGCCAAAGTAAGCAACTTATTCCCATTTTGATCAATAAAATGTGTATTTAAGCTATTATTAGCTACAAGTAAATTTTCTAAGTTTAGCTAAACGTGCTTATGTTTCTTTAAAATACAATAAGTTATTTATTTTGAAAGTAACTCACTCTTACTCTATTGTCAAAATAATGAGATTTGTCTCCATCTTAGACCAAAATAAATAAAAATATTTTAGAACTTACTCATGTACTCATAAGTCAAATTTTGAGGCTTAGGCAAACATGCTCTGCATGTTCCAGTGATACATTACAAGTTAAATGTCAAATTTGTTAAGAATCCATGGAAATATTTCTTTCGTGTAGCTTTCGCTCGTCAGCTTTGAAGTGGCATCCTGACAAGCATCAAGGTCCTTCACAGGTCAGTTTCATTATCATTAATCATTCAACTATATGTTTCTCTTTCTAAGAATATTAATTAGTCATGAATACACCCTAACAAACATTTGCATCAGTACTATTTAGGTTTTGTTTATAAAACTTAAATGAGTTTGATAATATTGTGTGCATATTTTTGTTTAGTATTAGCATATTGAGTATTTATGGAGTGTTTGGTAATGGTAAAGTGGATTGGACAGCACTGATAAGCGATTAAGAAAGATAAAGAAGCTAAAAGCTTATTATGGATTGTATTGTTCTAATAAATATAGGGTACCAAGCATGTGCTTAATGCCTCAAGGATACAATTTGATACAATGTTAAATCGCACTTCTAATTGTCTAAATAAAATTTGATTGCCTGACAGCACTGATTGAATCTGGTTTAAGATTGAAGGGCGGGCTTAACTTCAGGAATGTTAAATTGGTTTCTCGTCCCCTTTTCAATCGAGGGTATACACTCCTATAAAGCTAAGAATTACAGCAATTTTGGTAAGTTTTCTAACTATAGTAAGAACTAATTAGCCTATTTACCATGTATAAATTACAATCATATCTCATAATACATACTGCTATATATGGCTAACATCCCCCCTCAAATTGATGCGGGTCGATCAAAAAACATCAATTTGTCAATCATGAATTGATGACGATGATGAGATAGGGCCTTGGTAAAAACATCAGCAGTTTGATGTTCAGTGGAGACGTGAGGAAGTGTAATCACATGTTGATCAAGGGCTTCACGGATAGAGTGACAATCTACTTCAATATGGTTGGTGCACTCATGAAATACAGGATTGGCAGCAATCTGAATAGCACTGGTGTTATCAGTATAAAGCGGAGTAGGAGCAAATTGAGAGATACCAAGTTCACCTAGCAAACCTCTAAGCCACACAATCTCTGAGCATGCAGAAGACATAGCACGATACTCACATTCGGTAGAGGACTTTGAGACCCGATCTTGCTTCTTACTCTTCCAAGATGTAATTGCATCACCAAGAAACATGCACCAACCAGTAACTGAACGTCAAATCTCTATACAACCAGCCCAATCAACATCGCTGTAACCTTTTAACTGTAAAGGATTCCCTGTAGAGAAAAACAACCCTCGACCAAAGGTACCCTTGAGGCAACGAAGAATTCTTCGTACGGCTACTAAATGTGGTTGTCGTGGAGCTTTCATAAACTGACTGAATTGTTGTACAGCAAAAGAAATATCGGGTCGAGTAATTGTCAAATAGTTCAAACTCCCTACAAGCTGTCGATATAAGGATGGATTCGATAAAAGTTCCCCATCAACTTGGCTGAGCTTGATATTGACTTCCAAAGGTGTAAGTACGGAATTTCTAGATTGAAGGCCAACTGAGAAGAGAATCTCTTGGGTATACTTGTGTTGATGTAGAAGCAAACCATTAGGATAGGAATGAACCTGAAGACTAAGAAAATACTGTAGAGAACCAAGATCTTTCATATGAAAAGTGGTGTTAAGATGCTGCTGAAGTTGCACAATCGATTGAATGTTGGAACCTGTGATGACAATATCATCCACATATACTAAAAGCACAACAAGACCTGAGGTAGTGGTTTTAAGAAACAAGAAGGAATCAAACTGACTCTTGAGTGAAATGAAAATCCAGCAAAGTAGTACGGAACTTTTCAAACCAAGCACGTGGTGCCCGTTTCAATCCATATAAAGAGCGCCTCAACCGACAAACCTCAGTAGAAGAGTGAGAGAACATATCAAGAGGAGGACTCATATATATTTCCTCCTTCAAATCACCATGTAAAAATGCATTTTTCACGTCCATCTGCCGGAGAGTCCATCCTCTAGAAGCAGCTATAGCCATAATAGTCCTCACCGTAGTCATCTTTGCAACAGGTGTGAAGGTCTTCTCATAATCAAGACCATACTCCTTACAGTTCCCAAGAGCTACTTTTTCGGGCTTTATATCTCTCTATAGTACCATCAGGCCGAAGTTTAATTGTATATACCCATTTGCATCCAAGAAGTTTTATCCCATCAGGACATGGAACGATGTCCCAAGTATGATTATCCTGAAGTGCCTGAAGTTCTTCCTGCATAGCTTTCCGCCAACAAGCATGAATAGAAGCTTGAGAGTAAGATTTGGGCACGGTAGTAGTATCAAGAGTAGCCTGATTAGCAATATGTGGAAACCCATACTTATCTGGAGAGCGTGAGACTCGAGATGATTGTCGAGGTTCAATGATGATGGGATCGGGCGACGGTTTAGTGTCCGAAGGTGGTAGTGGAGGACGTCGTTGATATACAAATTCGGGCTTAAAGCGCTCAACATTACAAGACATATCATCAAACTTAGGGAGTTGAATAGAGGCAGAATCATGAACAACACGAGACTGGAAGAAATATTGATTGTCAAAGAAAACCACATTTCGAGAAATACGAATTTTGTTAGCATCTGCGTCATAACACACAAACCCTTTGTGTGCATTACTATACCCGAGGAATGCACATCTAGCAGCATGAGTAGTAAGTTTGTGACGTTCGATAAAAGGTAAATGAACAAAACAGACACACCCAAATAAATGAAGTGAATCATACTCGGGTGCAACATTAAACAATCGAGAGTACGGAGAGTCAAATTGTAAAGTTGGATAGGGAAGACGATTAATCAAATAAGCAGCTGTCGATAAAGCTTCGATCCAAAGTCTAGGGGGCAGGGATGATTCAATTAATAAAGTACGAACAACATCCAGAAGATGACGATTTTTACGCTCAGCAACCCCATTTTGTTGGGGAGTGTAAGGACAAGATCGTTGGGAGAGAATCCCTTTTGTTTTTAGATATTCTTGGAAATTGTTGGACATATATTCCCCTCCACAGTCAGAACGAAGTATCTTAATTCTAGTTGAAAATTGAGTCTCAACAAAAGCAACAAAGTTCTTAAAGATGGAGAACACATCAGTTTTAGATCGAAGGAAATAGACCCAAGTGAAACGACTATAATCATCAATAAATGTTACGAAATACATATATTGAGCATGCGAAAGTATAGGATTTACACCCCATATATCAGTATGAATAATCTCAAAACATGTGGAAGCTCGACTACCATGCGAAGGAAAAGGTAAAGATCTGCATTTACCAAGTTTACAAGAATTGCAATCAGAAGACACTTAAGGAAATGAATTTTTATTGCCCAAATAACCAGTCTTTAATAGATAAGTCAAAACATTAGAATTAGGATGTCCCAATTTCTTATGCCAAGCATTACTATCACTAACAATAGCAGAAATCAAAAATGGAAAACTGAAGAGGAAATAAACGTCCCACTTTAGGCCCCTTCGCGATCACTTTCCTCGACGCTTGATCCTGCACACAACAACCACTCCGATTAAAACAAATTTCACAATTATCATCTACCAATTGTCCAACAGAAATTAAATTCGTAGATAATTCTGATGACACAAATACATTGGTGAAAGAAGATCCCAAATTTCCAATTGCAATAATAGGAAGAGTACTCCCTTTGGCAATTTGAATATGTTGATCACCTTTATACTTACGAATGTCATGTAGAGCTTCTATACTACCTGTCATATGATTTGAGGCTGCAGAATCGACCAACCAAGGAGCAGCAATTAGATTTTTCTTACCTTGAAGACCAAGAGCAGAAAAAGCAGAAACAATCATCTGTTGAACCATTTCAGGTGTAAGAGTAGCTGAAAAAGCGGAGGAGACAACAGCTGAATTGGACTGGATAGCGGTGCGATAGGTTGGGCCTTGTCTATTCTGAGGTCACAGGCGACAATCTTTAATGATATGCCCATCCTTTTTGCAGTAACTACAAAATTTCTTACTGCAATTCTTTGCAATATGTCCAAACTCCTTGCAACTGTAGCACTCTATCTAAGTTTTCATTTTTCCCTTGAGCAGCATATGCCACATCAACCATCTCAGTAGTCACTGAATCTTCGATTATTCCGAGTTGAGTGGCAAAACATTGTTCTTCACGTAATAATTCTCCCAAGCATATGTCCATAGAGGGAACAGGAGTACGGATCAGTAAAGCAGCCCTTGTAGTCTCAAATTCTGATCTCAGCTTTATCAAAAATTGATTTCTTTGACTTTCAGCATGGACAACTTGAGCTAAAGCTTCATTGGGAACCTTGGAATAAACTATTCCAAAATATTCACTCCATAGATTAAGGAATCCAGCATAGAATTGATCAACAGAAAGATTACTCTGTTTATAGTTAGCAATTTCTAATTCCAATTGGAACTTCCTGGCAGAATTGTCTTGATAGTAAACACGCCTAAGGTAATCCCACATTTCTTTATCAGTAGTGAACGAACGAAGATTGTTGACCATATGTGGTTCAACAAAACTCAGTAGCTAAGAAGCAATCTTGGCATCTTTACTTTCCTATGAACTAAGTTCTTTGATATCAGTCGGAGCCTTAGAAGACCCATCCAAATGACCCCATAATTCTTTCCCTTTCACAAACATCCTGAACTGAAATTCCCAACTTGAGTAATTTTTTCCATTAAAAAGAATAATTGAATTTTCTCCGGACATGGTGAAATTTAAAGATTGAATAACTCAATTCAGATAAAATATCAAGTCCAGCTAAATTAGTTGAGCTCAAAACTGAAAGTTATCTTTCCTCCACAATTAAATCCAAACACATTCCAAAATCCAATATCAAACAATAAATAAATCCAATGCACCCAACAAGGCCCAATAATAGAATGTCCAGACAAAAATGTTATATAGCCCAATAAAGCCCAGTAATGAAATAACGGGAATATACCTGCCAGAATCAATATCTCCCGCCAATCATCGTTCACCAAGAAAAATCCAAGAAAAAAATGGATTTGTCGATCCACCGCCAAGAAGAGAGAGTCGACTGGAAGGCCCCCCCACTCAATAACTCCAAGAGCAGCGACTTCCAAATGAAGAAAATCATACCAAGAAACCCCGAAAGCCGTAACCTAAAAAAATCGGCCACGGATAGTCCGACAACTAGAAGACACTGGCAACCAATTCCTGACCACCGACTGCCCTTTACTCTCTCCAAATTGCTACCTCTAATGCGTATTCCGACAGCCCAAGGCCGAGGTATTTTCTATAAGAATTCAAAACCGAGATGATACTTTGAAGAATGTAAGAGGGCTCTAATACCATGTTAAATTGGTTTCTCGTCCCCTTTTCAATCAAGGAAATACACTCCTATAAAGCTAAGAATTACAGCAATTTTGGTAAGTTTTCTATAAGAACTAATTAGCCTATTTACCATATATAAATTACAATCATATCTCATAATACATGCTGCTATATATGGCTATCAAGGAATAATCTATTTTAAAGAAGTCCAATGTTAATCGTAAACTCGTCTAGCATATTCAACAAGGTGCATTGAATGAAGGGCAGACGTAGGAATTTGATGGGACCTAAATCTAAGTAAGTTAACCTAAAATTAATTCATAGGTAACAAAATAAGTCATTAAATGACAAGTACGTTTCAACGTATATAATATTTTTCATTTAACTAGAATAAGTAAGTTGCTATAAAAGATAAGTTTAAAATAAGTAACTTTTCCGATTAAAAAAAAAAGTTCAATCATACTTGGAAACCAAAGATTAGTTGAAGTGAAATTGCATTATTGGTCCCAATCGTCATTGTACTAAATTTTGGTTATTAACTTAATATACAACAATTTAGTTTTAATTTTTAAACAACTTATTATAGCTGCTCAAATCTACCATGATAAGCGATGAAACTAGAACTAGATTTCAGGGTGAGATAATTTTTCTAAAAATAAGAGAATAATGTCACCTAAACAATAATTTAATACAATACTATGTATTACCTATTCAAATCTTGCTCTATATTGGATAAAAATCATTATTGCTGAATCTAATTTTATTTTCTTGATGAGATCTCGTTTAATATTGTTCACACTTTAGAAAGTTACACTTAACCTTCAACAGAATTTTTGAAACATGAAAATGTCCATGGTTTCTGTAGTTTTCGGTTTCATTATTTAGATTTTTTGTCAATGGAGTAGAGGAAGACATTAAGATCTATGAACGCCGGAAATGTCATTTCTTTGTAAAATTGAGAAATTTGGTGATAGAATAATTTCTGTTATTCTTCGACAATAAGGGTGAATTTTTTTTTCTCTTCTGTAAATATTCTTGTTTTTCCTTGATGAAATCATTAATTCTTGAGATTTTCAGGAAAATTAGTTTACATCAGCTTAAATTTTGGGCTAGGGCTTCATGGGCTATTTTCAAATTGGATTAGAATTCGTGGCTGCACTTATTTTTAACTAGACTACTGTTATAAAAATTCCTCATTATTAATGGATCTGTGCTGGGGCTGGACAGTATTAAGGAAGAAAAAGAAGTTAAAATCTTGTTTATCTTCGTGTCCAGTGCTTGTTATCCCAATTACATGTTCCGATTGGAGGTGTTATTATCATAAATGTATTACTTTTGGCAGGCAGATGCAGAAGAGAAATTCAAGCATTGTGTCAATGCATACAAATCATTATGCATTGCACTCTCTACATCAGCTTGAGCTTTACTTTTTCTCCCCTGCCCCCCTAATTCTGAATGGATCCGAACGACAAACTAAACCTTTTTCCAAATAAATTTGAAATTTCCGGTGAACTTGTGTGGATCCAAATTAGGTCTATTTATTTATTTTTAGCTTTACAGGAGAAATTACACGTTCTTGTATTTTATATTCTTTAGAAATCAATAAAATATCAAGTATTTAGGTTGCTTACTGTTACAATGCATCCATCTTTTGTGACATATACTTTTGGCTGTCTTGACATTTGAACGTTGTTGTGTGACCCCAGAAAATAAGATATTTTCCTGCAACTGTTGAAAATAGATTTATGAATGTTTGATGGTTTTCTTCCTTTATACGCAATTTATTTATATAGGTGGAATATATCATGTTATATCTAACAGTCTGGAGTGGGCAGGATAAACTGCTACGTCGACGGTCAAGTAAAATTGATGAAATTTGTGGTTGAAGAGTTGTAAATCTTATGAAATATGTGGTTAAAATTAATTATTAACTTTAACTTACATTAAAATTTAGATTTTAATCCCTATCTCTAAAATAACATTAAATTGGAGATATTTATGCTCAAAAAATATTAAAATAGTTTATTTGCTCATGGAATTGAATTTGATCAGCATGTTGAATGATCATGCAACTTTTTAAGCTTCTTGTAAACTTCATGGAATTGTATTTTCTGCAAATATTAGCAATTTTGGTTGGCGTGGGCATTTTTGGTTCCTTTACACCTCACCAATTTTTGGCGAATCGCGATCAAATCAGACGCGACCAAGTTCAGTTTCTCCAATCCAAATTTTTTTTTTTTGCAAGAAATCATCCTTAGCAGACTCTGAGATTTCCATTTTTGGGATGTGCTAAATTGCTATATATTTGCACCAAACCATACAAAAGATGCCAAAGTAGTTATACGAAATGGTGACTCACAAAACAAGAAAATTTTATTTCCAGTCAGCAAGCACAAGACGAACAGAAACAGGCTCAACTCAAATTACTGTTTGAAGACAATTTGTTCGTGTAGCAATCATCGAGCTCTACAACGGCTAAAGTAAACGTCAGGTCGTTTAAGCGGAGATTGGCTCTTTCTCTTCGTGCATCAGAGGAATTGGTTTGGTAGGGGCAGGCAGACGTCCAATACTATCTACTTTATCTTTCTGTTTTGGTGGAGGCCTTGCTGCTTTAGGGAGCAATCTGCCCTTCTTCTCGAACCACTCCGGTTTTAGCAATGCCCGGAAGCCCAGTTTATTGTAATACACCCTCCTTACGGACCCACCAGCAGCTTCACCAGCAGCTTCGACTGCTGCTTTTGCCCTGACAGTGACCCTTGACACCTATAAACACGATTTTATAAGCAGCAATTCAAGGCTACAAGAAATTTCATGATATGATATATTCGTTGAGATTGAGTAAAGATACTTGTTCCTCCAGTAGAAAGGTGTGATGCAAAAGAATATATTAAATTGAAACGGATTAGAAAATAATAGATTCAACCTAGGAGAAACATAATAAAAATGAACCCAAAACTGACAAGAAGATCTGGATAACCTCAAGATGGATTGGCCATTGTATATGTTCAGCCCCACGGCCCATCAGTCGAACTCCATCTCTAATTTGCTTCCCTATTGCACCTGCATCCTATTTGTAATGACAATGATGTGTAAGTATCAGATAGCCAAGTGAAGAATGCAAGGTATGAAGTCATATCAGAAACTCATACGTGCCTTGAGAGTTTTCATTGTTATCAACTCCGAAGAATCTATCTTCCCTGCATTGATCAGCTTTGCAATTTTTCCTAACCCAACTGGCTGCCACAATAGTGCAAGTGCATTAAAGAGTTAAAATTACAAAGCTACCAAAAACTGCAGAGTTGTTGAATAAGGATGCTTTAATACACGATATAGCCACATAAAAACAAGGCATCTCCACCATGCATGGGTTTTCGTTCTGGTTCTATAAATTTAATGAGAAGTTGATGCGGACATCCATTTATTATTTATTTTCTATTTGGACTATTAGTTATATTTTATTTGGACTATTGTTTATGTTTTCGTTATTGGGCTTGTTTAGTGGGTTTGGCCCAAGCCCTTCTCTTTAGGGTTTATATTCTGCTATTTATTTCTGTTTTATTTCTCATTTGAGACAGTTGATGATGATTTAGAATTGAAATATTTTTTGGTGGCTTGCAGCCGTTTTCTCCCTCCCCTTTCTTCCTCTGGTTTCTTTTCCTCTTCTCCCTTCTCTCTGTTTCTCCTCCCCGTTCCTTCTTCTTTCTTTCTTATTCATCCTACATCAGAAGTGCACACAAATAAAATACATGTGGTAATATGGCTAAAATGATCCATTTGATTATATGATTCAGGTGAAGAAACATGATTTTATCCAATCATTCTTTGGCTCAAGAAGTCCTTTCTAGAAGGGTGATAAATACTGTATCTGCACTTCCAACTTTTAGCAGCAGGGTATCACTAGGTATATATCCCCAGTTCACGAGGATTATACCGTATTTATTTGATTCCCATGTTTTTGTGTAAAACTATACACTTTATGTGGCAGATTTGCAAATGTTGGAATCAAAATCAGAATCAGAAAATCTTCCAGTAACAGCATGCAATTTCCCCAAAAATAGACAGTGCATCTAACCCTATACAGTGACATTTATAAGTCAATCAGAAACCATGCACTGATATCACTCATATAACAATCCAGAAATCAAAAGATGTGGTTGAATGAAGGTCAGATGAAGTGCGCATGAATGAGTTTTGGTATCTTAAGTAGACAATGACAAACAGATCTGGTGAAACAAAAGTGGTCTGCATATCTTCTCACGACTAATTTCTTTCAGTAAAAAATCTCAATAACATTATTGGTAGAAGCTACTACTAAAATACCAGTTCTCTGTTATCACAAACAACGCGCAGAGAGTGGAAGAACCGAAGAAGTGCAGAAGAAAGGAGGGAAAACATAAGGAAGCCGATTGGTAGTTAGAAAAAAAGAGATATCTGGCACGACTTCTTGGACAGAATAAATTGTGAAGCTTCATATATATCCAACACGAGAAGTTAGCACGGTGCGTCAATTTTACACTTCTTTCCATTCAATACAATGCAATATCCAAGTGATTGAAGAGGTAGGATTAAATAAAATATCAACAACCATGCACAACAGGAAAACAGTTACAGTAGTGTTAAGAGAAGATTTAATCGTATTGTCATATGGATGTTTGACCTTTCTGTATCGAATTATCTACTCACTGCCTTTTGTCATTTTTTGAAGAGAATTGTCCAACAGCATGCCACGATATGATGTTTATGATAGGTTTATTTCATCACTTAGAAAAGTGCGTAAACAAGCACTGTTTATCTTATCATGGCTGTGTAAACTATCATTTTTCTTCTATAGAATGTGCAGCCTTGCAGGACCTATATTTCCAATTACCAAATGAGAAATTGTAGTAAGAACTATTTACCATAATTGATATTAGAATTACTAGCAGGAAGCCTATAGAGATGCACGTATCCAAGAAAAAGTGCATGATGCAGGCAAATCTTCGAAATAAACTTCCTTTTATTAAATCAATATGCTGAATACAACTCAATAACAAAGGCCAAATCAATATGTACATGTATATGTTTATATATATATATATATATACTCGACTCTATATTGCATGGACTTGATTAGGAGTATGACACACAACCCCTCATCTAATATGAGCACTCTCAATTTTTCACAAGTTTTTCATTCAGTTTGGCGAATAATATCAGAGCAACTGAAAGAACTCTAGGTTTGAATGAGGATCTGGTGCTAGTATATCATGCATGTACAAAGTCTGGCTAACAAATATCATATAAAATCTGCACCTTGTCCCTCATTGGACATTGGTCACAATTCCCTACCAACGGGCTATCATAATTTGCTACCAAATGGTTCCATCTAATAAACCTAAAGTTTTCCATGACATTTACACATTCCCTTCATCTAATATTTTATATTTCTTCCAACGAAAGTTAAGATTTTACTCAACCTTCGATCAATAAGTAAGCGATAAACCACATTTGCAAATGAGATATTTATCAGACGAGGCTAGACATGGGAATCCTAGGCCCATGTAAAAAGAGAATGTTTTTAGTTACAATATAATCATGTAGAAAAGTCTTGATTACATGCACGTTGCTTCACTGACATTGATTTGGGTAGGTGGGAAGTAGAAAATAATGAAGAAACTAGACCAACATGCAAAATAAATGCAACAAATGGCATTCTCACATTGCATCTAGACTACTATGATTTAGTGCGTTAAGTTACCTTCACGATTATATTAATCCTTTCCATGAAAAATCGTTCAAAGTGTTA